TACCTCCCTGCTACTTGCAGATACTAATTCAGCTACAACCTACAGTGTTGCAAAGTTCTGTGCAGCAGCATACAAAATCCGCCAGGGAATGACTAGTTCCAAAAGTCAACTGTGTGTCCAGTAATCTTCTTCTCTGAATCTACAATTTGGTGATGGATCTGGGCATTGTATGTTTTTACCCTGTTCCCCCTTCTGCTCCCTCACCCATATTGTGTTTTTAGTAGTTATATTTATATTTTTAATGTACCAAACATGCCAGGTTTGTCTGGAAGTGTGACACTATTTCCTGTGCTGGTCAATGACCGAAATAAATATTTTGATTTGATTCATGTTCTGTAAAGACAAAGTGTTTAATTGTGTGGGGCATAACAAATTGTGGATCATTCTTTGAAAAATATGTGTTGCATGAACTGTAATCAGACCTGTCCCTAAATTTCCTATTTTCAGGGGTTATCCTCATATAGGAGGTGAAGTTCAAATTCTGCAGTTTGGAGAGGCTCAGCTCCAGGCACAGAGGAAAGGGTTGGGTACAAATATTTAGTGCAATTTGCAAGGCTTAACTGATTTCTTCCTCTAATTTGCACCCTACCCCCAGGTGTGTATGTCTATGTATTTACTTAATTAGCTTTCTCCTTTCCTCCCAGTCCTTGTGGTGTTTAGTCTCAGCTCCGATCTGTTTCACATCCTTCTGCTTAGAAACAAGTTGTTCTCCTGTGCCATTGAGCTGTAATGACCCTAAGATGAACTTATCACAGGGTTTAGTTGGCAAAATTTGTTCAGAGGGTTTTTTTCTGTCAAGAGCAGCTTGAGAGACTGCAAGTCACTTCTGGTGTGAGAGAACTGGCCATCTGCAAGGCCATTGCTCAGGGGATGCCCAGATGTTTTTCCATCCTGTGGGAGGCTTCTCTCATGTCCCCACATGAGAAGCTGGAGCTGACACTCCCCCGCTCCCCCAATTTGAACTGCCAACTTTTCAGTCAGCAGTCCTGCTGGCATAAGGGTTTACCCCATTGCACCACTGGAGGGTTCAGAGAGGTGGGGATTTCCTTTGCCTCCCTGACAAGACTGAGAGAGCATGCTGTCCTCAAAACCAGTGGTTTTCCATGGCTGAGAGTGAATTCAAATAGTAGTCACCAGAGCCATAGGGTGCATCTACACTGTAAAATTAATGCATTTTGACACAATTTCGACTGCCATGGTGCAATGCTATATAATCATGAGAGTGACAGTTTTACAAGGGCAGTAGCTGACTCTGCCAAAGAGCACCAATGCCTTATAAAACTACAAATCCCATAATTCTATAGCAATTAAAGCTGCATTAAGCTGCATTAATTCTACAGTGGAGATCACCCAAAGTTCAAAACTCAAACCAGTGCACCACACTGGATCTCTAGACTCAAACACGTTGGATTAAACGTCCCTTATTACATCTCACTAAATAAGTAAGAAGCTATAAGTCTATCATATCATCTCGATCTGGAAACAGGCCTCTAGGGTAAGATTTCTATCTTAATTTTCAAACAAGAAAAATATGTTCTGTCTTTATTTGAATGAGAAAGTGTGAACAATGTGGTTGGTACGTAAAGCATATCGATGACATCACCAGGGACTGGTTTTGGTTTTGGTCCAGAAACCTTGGGGCCTGGGACGATCCTGAACTAACAATCTTGCCTGGATTGCACTCATGCCTGTTTTCACAGTCAACTGAACAACATTTCTCAAACCATCTCTTAGAGAGCTCTCAGGATTCCATAACATCGAGTCATTGCTGTTAAAGCAGTGTCAAGCTGTATTAATTTTACAGTATAGATGTCTTTGGTTATCTCTGAGAGTTGCAAGTATGGTTACACAGGAACCTTATTAATGGGAGATTTAGGCCCACCTGTCTAGAAGGCCAAAGGGTCCTCCACCCATAAGTTTAGATTCAGTCTGGCACCTTCCTTTCTATTGTTGAATCCTGCAGTGAGAAACCCGAACTGGATTGTGTGATTTTCACTTTTTTTTTGCTTCAAGAAGCCTGTGTTATGGATTCCAGAGCTGCGTTTGGGTGTGACCCATAACAGAGGAAAGTAATTTGGGCATATATTCCATTGCTACACATCCAGAGTTTGGGAAGCTTCTTTGCTTTTGCATTATCGGGTTTTTAGTTGTTGTTTTTTGCTTTAATCTTATTGTAAAGTAATCCTTGTTGTAATCTCCTCCCCCACTGCTGGCCCTTTTCCTTGTGTGTCTTATTTGGATTCTAAACCTGAAGGTAGGGAACTGTTTCTTCTTTTCTTTGTAAAGTGCCACTGACAGTGATGTTGTTGTTACTTATTTGTTCAGTCGCTTCCGACTCTTCGTGACCTCATGGACCAGCCCATGCCAGAGCACCATCACCAACAGTGATGGTGCTATATAAATAAATGCTGATGCCTTGAGTTATTCTCATGTTTATTCTTATTGCAGATAAACTATTGTGCTTTTTTATGTAAATCATTTTTATTGTTTGCTTTATGAAATGCAAAGGTACAGGAATACTATTGAATATTTATACCTCAGTATGATCAAGCATGTAGATTGACTGTAGTTCAGTCTTATTAATCTTACACAGAGCTTTCGAAATTGTGTGTCACAGCACACGTGTCATCTGCAGTATGTAGGCATGTTGTGTGAACGTAACGACAAACCTCCAAATCTATGTGAAATAAGCAATAAATCCTTATACACACACACACAAAAGAATTTCATGAGATATGTTGTGTCCCCATACATTTCATGGTCACAGTTTATGTATGTGTCCATATCACTTAGGGCCCTCTATCCCAGGATCTGCTCCCAGTTTTTCTGTTTATCCCATATTATCTGGCAGTGCGGACTCATATAATCCAGTTTAAAGCAGAAAACCTGGGATCAGATCCTGGGATAAAGGGCCTAGAACAGACCTTGGAAGAGGTCAGTTGAACCTCTGGCTTGCCAGTAAAACTGAATGACTATGTTGTGAAATGGTGCATGTATTAAAAAGAAATGTTTGACACCTTGTTGCAGTGAGGGGGCTTGCATATTCCAATAACCTGTAGGCATAACCACTGGAATCACGCACTCCCAAAGAGGTGGACAGGGGGGGGAGGTTCCAAACCAAGCACAATCCAAAGACCTCAACAGCAGATCAGGCGATACATGGTACCTGCTGGCTTGTCTGTTGGAGGCAAGTGTCAGTCTCACAATTGACCACTTTGATTAGCACTGAATAGCCTTACAGCGTCAAAGCCTGGCTGTCTCCTGCCCAGGGGAATCCTTTGTTGGGAGGTGTTAGCTGGCTCTGATTATTTCCTGTATGGAATTCCCGTTTTCTGAATGTTGTTCAACAAACCCCTCAACCTCTAAGGATGCCTGCCCTAGATGCAGGCGAAATGTCAGGAGAGAATGGTTCTGGAACATGGCCATACAGCCCAGAAAACACTGCAACCTAGTGATTCCGGCCACAAAATCCTTGACAACATAATATACCTAATATTTACTTCCTTCAAAAGGCAACTCAGTGGGGCTGGTTGGGTTCCTTCTTCCCAAGTAGGGTAATAGTATGGTAGCTGGGTCCGGAAGCTAGGAGCGTTATGCTGTTTCTGCTTCGCTCCTTTGGGAGCGCTGTTTGTGCACCGTGATATCATAGAAGCAATGTAAGAGTTCTTTAATGGTAAAACCCTAACCCTAACCCGAACCCCTAAAGCTTACCCAATCCCTAACCCTAAACCTTACCATAGGTAAAGGTTTTCTCCTGACATTAAGGTCCAATTGTGTCTGACCCTGGGGTGTGGTGCTCATCTCCATTTCTAAGCCGAAGAGACGGTGTTGTCCATACACACCTCCAAGACCATGTGGCCAGCATGACTGCATGGAGCGCCGTTACCTTCCTGCTGGAGTGGTACCTATTGATCTACTCACATTTGCAAGTTTTCCAACTGCTAGGTTGGCAGAAGCTGGGGCTGACAGCGGAAGCTCACTCTGCTCCCCGGAATTGAACCTGCAACCTTTCGGTCAACAAGCTCAGCAGCTCAGCACTTTAACCCACTGTGCCATGGGGGGCTCCTTACCCTACCTTATCCTAAACCTTACCCTAACCCTAACCCTCACCCTAACCCTATACGTTTCCCTAATCCTTATCCTAACCCTCCCCTCCTTTCTATCCTTCCGCCCTCACGTGGTCCCTTTCCTTATTCACAACCGCCGTTGCGGAAAATGCGTAAGGTTCGGCGCTTCCGGACCCAGCTATCAAACTATCACCCTAAAAAGAGCGGTCCCTGGGCGCGCTTCGGGTTCAGCGCAGCTTTGATTGGGTGGCCGTGCTTTGATAGCATCCACCCCTTTAAAAAAAACTACATCTCCCAAAATCCTTTGAGGGGAGGAGAGAGAGCTCCGAAGCCGGCTCCAGATTGGAGGGCCGGTACCTGCTGGCTTTTGCGGAGGGTCGGTGCCTTTTGACAGCCTCCCCCCCCCCCCCCCCCCCCCCCCCCCCCCGTCCTCATTGCACCTTCCTTTGGGGCGGCTTTGGCGTTTTCCCGCTGCCTGAGTCCCAACCCTTCTTCCCTCTTCCTCTCTGGGGCGCTTTCGGGACTCTCTTTCTGTGTCACCGCGTCTGAGAAGAGGAGGAGGAGGAGGAGGAGGAGGGGCCGGTGCCGCCCTGGCTCTCCTGCCGGGGCTTTGAGACGGAGAAGAGGAGGAGGAGGAGGAGCCAGCAGGAGGGACCCGTGGCTGCCGCATCCCTCGTCCAGCCTGACGGCTTGCCTTTGCGCCCAATTCGCCGGCTGCTCTCGCTTCTCCAGAAGAGCGGGGCGAGGGAGACGGAGGGAAGGAAAGGCACCTCCGGGGGCGCAGAGCCGGCCTCCCTCCCTCTTTCTCTCTCTCTTTCTCTCTCTCTCTCTCTCTCCTCCCCCGCCTTTCGCTGCTTTCAGAGCTGCGGGGAGGGGACGCCTTCTCCTCCGGAGACGAGAAAGGCGGCCCCAGACAAAGGAGCTCGGCGCCCAGAGAGAGAGAGAGATCGAGGAAGCAAGGCAGGCAAGCAGGCAAGAGGCGGAGCTGAGAGGAAAGCCTGCGTTCCCCTGCGGAGGCCAGGTAAGCGCCCTCGGATGGGGAAAGGCGCTCTGGGGAAGCCTCCAGGCCAAGCAGGGGAGTGGGCCTGCTCTTCAAGGGCGGCCTCAGAGTGCAAGGGGGCCTGGCAGGAGGGGAGAAACCCTGGGAGAGTGTGCAGGGCGCTCTCTTGCTTTCCCTCCCGTTTGGGAGACAGGCAGCGAGGGTGGCCGCCTCTGCCATGCAGAGGAGAATGTCTGTGTAGGGTGTGTGTATGTATAGAATACCCACGCGCATGTGTACACATATGTCTCTGCTCCCTGGCGCTGCCTTTCCTGCCAAGGGGAAAAGGAAGGAGGGGTGCTGGCTAGGAAACGAGAGGAGCCAGCTCTATATCCCCGAATATCAAGGCAGAAAGACCCACATTAGCTGAGTGTGGACTCAGGGTCTTTCCACAAAACACTATATCCCTGAATATCAAGGCAGAAAGCCCCACTTTATCTGAGTGTGGACTCAGGACCCTTCCACACAGCCCTATATTCCTGAATATCAAGGCAGAATGTCCCACATTAGCTGAGTGTGGACTCAGGGCCCACACAGCCCTATATTCCCAAATATCAAGGCAGAAAATCCCACATTACTTGAGTGTGGATACAGATGACCCAGTTTAAAGCAGATATTGTGGGATTTTCTGCCATGATATAGATCTATGTGGAAGGGCCCCTAATCCACACTCAGATAATGTGGGATTTTCTGCCTTGAAATTCTGGGATATAGGGCTGTTTGGAAGGACCCTTAATCCACACTCAGCTAATGTAGGACTATCTGCCTTGATATTCTGGGATATAGGGCTGTGTGGGTGGGCTTGAGTCCACACTCAGATATTGTGGGATTTTGTGCCTTGATATTTGGGAATATAGGGCTGTGTGAAAGGGCCCTGAGTCACACTCAGATAATGTGGGACTTTCTGCCTTGATATTCGGGAATATAGGGCTGTGTGGAAGGGCCGTGAGTCCACACTCAGATATTGTGGGATTTTCTGCCATGATGTTTTGGGATATAGGGCTGTGTGGAAAGGTCCCAGGCAGCCGCAAAGTAGGGAAGTATTAAGAATGGGAAGAAGCCTGGTTGGAGTTGGAATCTCTCTCTCCCTCCCATAGTTTCTCTTTCCCACCCTCCCCCTCTTGGTGCATCTATACCAGGTATGGACAACCCAGCTATTAGGATTTTGTAGGAGTTGGAGTCCAAAACACCTGGAGGGCCCAGGTTTGCCAGTCCCTGATCTATATTGACTAACACCACTTGAACTGCCCTGGCTCAATACTATAGAATTATGGAGACTGGCTTGCTGTGGGTTTTCCGGGCTGTATGGCCCTGTTCCAGAAGCATTCTCTCTTGACGTTTCAGCAGAGAAGTCAGCCATAGCAAAGCCCTTGATGAACCAACTTGGACACAGCATATTATTTGAGAGCACAGAACTGCTGGACCACTCTTAAGAACTACCCTGTCAGGCTGCACAGAAAAGCCATTGAAATCCACAAGCATGTGGACAATTTCAACAGAAAGGAGAAAACCATGAAAATGAACAAAATCTGGCTACCAGTATTTAAAAACTCTAAAATTAGAACAGTAAATAAAGAGCAACACTCAAAAAACATGGGCATTCCAGACAAGAAACAATCAGGGCTAGCTAATCATCTCCCAACAAAGGATTTCCAAGGGCAGGAAGCAGGCAAGCTTTGTAGCTGCAAGGCAATTCAGTGCTAATCAATTGCGACATTCAGACTTGCCTCCAACAGATAAGAGTTTTGTCTCCCACCCTGGACCTTCCACAGATATATAAACCTCCCTTGTTTAGTTTCCAGTATAACTCACAACCTCTGAGGGTGAATGCCATAGTTGAAGGTGAAACGACAGGAGAGAATGCTTCTGGAATATGGCCATATAGCTCGGAAAATTCACAACAACTGAGTGATTCAGGCCCTGAAGGCCTTCAACAATACATTATGGATACTGTTTGTCAAGATCTGCTGTAGCCTTCATTGCTAAATAGTGCTGAGGCCTCCCATGGCACTGAGCCATGATGGTTTGGTGGTCAAACTGCATCTCTTCTACAGTGTGGATCAGGCATGGGCAAGCTTCGGCCTCAAGAGGTTTTGGATTTCAACTTCAACAATTCCTAACAGCCTACTGTCTGGGTTGCTGTGAGTTTTCTGGGCAGTATGGCCATGTTCCAAAATCATTCTCTCCTGACATTTCACCCACATCTATGGCAGACATCCTCAGAGGTTGTGAGGTCAGTTGGAAGCTAGGCAAGTGAGGTTTATATATCTGTGGAAAGTCCAGGGTGAGAGAAAGAATTCTTGTCTGCTTGGGGCAGGTGTGAATGTTGCAGTTAGCCACCTTGATTAGCATTTAATGGCCTTGTAGCTTCAAAGCCTGACTGGTTGCTGCCTGGGGGGGGGGTGAAATTGAAATTATCCATCATCTGTGCTGGATGGACAATTTCAACAGAAAAGGAGGAAACCATGAAAATGAACAAAATCTGGCTACTAGTATAAAAAAAAACCTCCCAACAAAGGATCTCCCCAGGCAGCAACCAGCCAGGCTTTGAAACTGCAAGGCCATTAAATGCTAATCAAAGTGACCAATTGCTACATTCACACCTATCTCATGTAGACAAGAGTTCTTTCTCCCACCTGGACATTCCACAGATATATAAACCCCACTTCCCAGTTTCCAAAAAACCTCAGAACCTCTGCGGATGTGGGCCAAACATCAGGAAAGAATGCTTCTGGAACATGGCCATACAGCCTGGAAAACTCACAGCAACCCAGTGATTCTGACCATGAAAGCCTTTGACAACACACTGTGTGTCAGTCCTGTTGTCAAGAGCAGCAGAAGGAATGGTCTCTCAGTTTTAGGGAAATAGAAAAACAGTTGGCTCAGTGCATCCAGGACTTTCAGCATCCTTTGCTTGAAAATATTTTGTTAAAGGCGTTCTTTTTTTTTTAAAGCAAGCCTTGACGTTGCCATTTTATGTAAGGGACACCATTTTGCTACATTGTTGTCTACTATGAGACTTGAGCATCCACACATTGTTGGTATCCACAGAGTAAACCTGGGATCACCCCATCCTCGTGGATGCTGAGGGTCCACCTCTGTAAAAGGTGTTCCTCTGCCATCTTCTCAGAATGCCAAAATCCACTGAATGGTTCTTTCCCTTTGCAGACACTGATAAAATGAAGCAAATATTACAGTTGGGTTTATTTAAATCATGTAAATCTCATGATCTTCCTCCCCTATGCTCACCTTTACTCATTTGTCTCTTGCACAAATAGCCTGCATTAAATAAGTGCATTGGATTTTCCTTGTACCAAAGCAGGAGGAGGGGCAAGGCAGCCTTGCATTTTTATTTTCTCTCCTCCCTTTTATTTGGAGTGGCTCAAGATCCCAGGTTTGCTTAATGCTTCCAGTAGTATAAATATCCTTTGAGTGTATTGATGCTCTTTAGTAGAAGAATTGCTGCCAGGTAAAAGGATTGAAATCTTTTGGGTCAGAGATTCTTGGGCTTATTTCTAAAGGGAGTGTATCAAAAGGCTGTAAATAATTTAAAAGGTGCTGGATGTCTTTGGAGGGAGAAGGGGTGAATAGGTAGATTATAGAAAGTGCCTTGAACAGGTTATTCAATTTTAGTCATTTCCTGGGCTCAAGGACAAATGGAGGCTTCTGTACTTTTGGTTTGTGTGTGTTTTCCTTGAGAGAGAGGGTGTGGTAATAATGGCTCTGTAATGCAGTACTGCTAACAGTACATGCGCTTTTGCCAGTGCATGGCTAGAAAAAAAATAATCCACTCCTCTCTCCAGCAGAGAGATGGGAGAAACATCTTCAGCTTAGAGCTTGTCACTTTCATAGCCAACATAGTATTTTTCTCAGGCAGTAATTTAAAGGGGGGGGGGGGGGATGCCAGCCAAATCTATGTTATACCTCCTTGTGAAAATGAACGGACGAGTTAAAATATGATTATAGTATAGTATTTTATATATGCTTTGCATTTAATTACTAAATACAGTTAATGTTTTGAGTTTGGTTTTAAGTCGTCTGCCATACTTTGTCCATCCCTGCTTTGTGCATGTTTTTTTGGGTGTGAACCCCCACTTCATTTAAAATATTGTAGCTTAAATTGAATCTTAATGAGAATGCACTTGTAATCATGGGTTTTGCCCAAGCTGTTGATGTCTCACGGGTGTAAAATGTATAACATCTACCTGCATGCAGCCAGTTCATTGCAAATTACAGGGTGAGACATGTTTTTAAGTGAATATTATTTAAAGCTAGATTCACGTGTTTCCGTAAAAGAGATGTTTGTTTTAAGTGAGGTCGTACAGGACAATCTTCAGATGAAATAAACACATTACTCTGATATGAATCTGGAAATTATAATTAAGATGTTGCTAAGATAAATACTTATAAATAACTATTCATATTACAGTGAAGCATTTTTCATTAAGAATCTGCAAAGGTTGGCGTACCTTTATTATATTTTTAAAAGACTTACAGGAATATCTTGAAATAGTTATTCTTTGATCATACACACACACACACACACAAACATTTGGTCTTCATGTCAGTTTATGACCAAATAATATATCTGAATGTGTTGTCCAAGGCTTTCATGGCTGGAATCACTGGGTTGCTGTGAGTTTTCCAGGCTCTATGGCCATGTTCCAGAATCATTCTCTTCTGACGTTTCACCCACATCTATGGCAGGCATCCTCAGAGGTTGTGAGGTCAGTTGGAAACTATGCAAGTTTGTGGTTTATATATCTGTGGAATGTCCAGGATGGGAGAAAGACCTCTTCTCTGCTTGAAGCAAGTGTGAATGTTGTAATTGGCCACCTTGATTAGCACTGAATGGACTTGCAGCTTCAAAGCTAAGCTGGTTGCTGTCTGGGAGGATTTTTTGGGAGGAGGTATTTGCTGGCCCTGATTGAATCTTGTCTGGAATGCCCCTATTTTTGTCGCTCTTTCTTTACTGTCCTGAT